GTTGATTTGTAATAAAAACGTGGTATTTTCTTACAATTCATATTAAAATAAATTTGGTTAATATGAAGTCATAATTTTTTTTTTTTTTTTGTGGGTAATATTAATATCATATCAAATAAATGTATGAATTTACTCTCACAATAATAAATTGAAAATATCTTTTGCATTGTTCAATAAGACGACTTTCTTAGGATGTTTGAATGACTCTCTCCCCCNACATTAAATAACATTTTTTTATTATAGCTAATTTAAAATATTATAGTTAATTTAAAAAAAACGTCAAAATAACGTTTTTTATTACAGTTAATTAAAAAAATTTCAAAATAACTATTGTCAATTAAAAAAACGTCAAAATAATGTTTTTTTACTATAGTTAATTGAAAAATGTCAAAATAACATTTTTTTACTATAGTTAATTGAAAAATGTTAAAATAACATTTTTTTAATTATAGTTGATTTAAAAAAACGTCAAATAACATTTTTTACTGTAGTTAATTGAAAAATTATCAAAATAACATTTTTATTTTAGTTAATTTAAAAAAAATTAAACTAATTCGTAATTCGCGTAACAATCGGAGCACTTTCGCAAATCTGCGTTTTGATACCATTTCGTACATAGGTAAATCGGTCAATTTTTAGCCAAACAGGCTAAAATTTACTGATAAAACTTGGACATTAGATCTATATTATCCAAACATTAATTATAACAGTTACTAAATTTAAATAATTGCTAGAAGTTGTTGATTAACAAAATTTTTAGTAAAACTGCTTTGCAATTTTTTATTAATAAAAGTGTGAACCAGAAGGCTCAAAATTTACATTTATATACATTTTGATATTATTGTATTTTTAAAAAAAAGTAAGGTAAAAAAATAAAATTATTCTTATTTTAAGATTAACAGTTTATTTTTCGTAAAAAAAAATTCCAAATTTTTTAAATTTTCCCAATTGACAACTTTTAAGAATTATTTACGAAATTATAAGTTTTACAAAAATTACAATTAATACTTGAAAAAATAGACTCAATGTCAGAGTTTTCTCAGTAAAAATTTCAGCCAAATCGGTTAAAATTGACCGATTTACCTATGTAAGAGACGCAGATTTCAATGGTGCTCCGATTGTTACACGAATTACGGATTAACATTTTTTTACTACAGCTAATTTAAAAAAAATGTTAAAATAACGTCAAATAACCATTTTTCATTATAGTTTATTTTAAAAAAAATGTTAAATAACATTTTTTTTATTATGGCTAATTTTATAAATGTTAAAATAATGCCAAATAACATTTTTTTATTATAGTTAATTTAAAAAAACGTCAAAAAAACGTCAAAATAACATTATTTATTATAGTTAATTGAAAAACATTAAAATAACATTTTTATTATAGTTAATTTAAAAAAAATTAAACAACTTTTTTTTTAAGTAATTAATAAAAATCAGTAAATAACATTTTTTTTTTATTATAATTTATCAAATGTTTTTCTAATATAATTAATTTAAAAAACATTAACATTAGAAAATGTTTTTTATAATAATTAAAAAAATGTGACCTGATTAACTCATATTTTTACATTTTGTAGTTTTAACCAATTAATGTTTGATATATTTGTATATGAGTTACATTTACTATATCAAATATATATACTATATTAAATAAACCAATAACTATACACATCGGAAAATTTTTACAGGTGATATATAGCGATATATATCACTTTATCGATATTTTTCGCCATAAAATACCGATAATTAACGAAATATGATAATTAACATTATTTATTTTTCAGATTATTGTCAATAAATATCACTAATGTTAAATATCTTATAGAATTCATCGATAAATACAGTTATTTATCAAAATGATAATCATAATACATTTATTATTGATTTATTTAGTACGATAATTATCGATAAAGTGATAATTATCGATATTTATATCTTAAAAAAATTATCAATATCTGCAGATAATGCAATTTATCGGCAGATAATCATTGATATTAAGTGTTAATATAGATTTGCCATAATATTATAATTAAGTTACGAAGCTATTTAACAATCACGTGTATCATATCATGTGACACAACTTCCCGTTGATTATTTTTTTAAACTTTTTTTTTTAAAGTTTAGAATTTTTTATTAGCTGTTTTGGAATTTTTTATTAGATCAACAATTTATTTATTAGTGCTCATGTGATAATGACTTTTTTTTATTGTCACGAGACTATATGACATAATGTATTATATAATTAATCATTAAAATGGTTTTTTTTTTCACTTAAAAAAAAGTTTTTTAAAAAAGTTTCAAATTTAAAAAAGGATTTTTAGAATCCAAATTCATGTAATGACGTATAATTTAACTGGTAAGGTACGCATTTTTTAAAGAATCTACAAGACTAATATTTTTTATGTGGTACTTTTCCCTATCTATGAGTCAAGTGACTATTTCTTTATCTCTATTTAAATTAGTTAAAAAAGTGATAGCTGAAAACAATTATCCGTTAATTTCGTCATACAATAAAAACATCATAATGCAGTATATCTATTGTATCTATTGTATCAATATATTTTTTTGGGGTTTCTTTTTTTTTTTCCCATTTAAATAACACATGACCTTTGGTAAATCCGCCACTTTGGGCTTTTTTTTTTCTTGTAAAAATTGTACCTAAATAATATGTACCTGATATTGGCTTGAGCGTACTATCCTCTTAATTTGCGCAGGGTTAAACGAGGTCATGAGACCAACAAAAATAATTTACATTATAATTATGTATGTAAAACGAAAGGTCAGGGTCATGAGAACGATTATACATCATAAATCATAAATATATATATATATATATATATATTATATAATTATATATTTATTTATATATTTATTTATATATAACTTACTTTCTTTTCTTCTTTTTATTTCTTTCCTTTTATTATTTCTTTTTTATTTATAATTTTCGGAATAATATATAACAAGAAGGTTTTTTTTAAAACTGTGCATCCTAAAGTGCATTCTAAACTCTAAAGTGTATCCAAAAGTACATTCAAATGACTTTGTCCATGTGGCGTGTCACGATCCAAAAAGTACTCGAGCCTAATTAAATAATAATAAATATTATAAAATTTTTATTTTAATGACGAAATAATTTATATTGATGACGCAAATGAGAAATTAAGTTGGTATTGACCTCTCCAAAAAAAATAACCCCCCTCCTATTTACATACATAGATACGCCTAGTGGTCAGTGACCACATGCAATATAGTGTTATCCCACATAATATTAAAGTCGGTCCCATTTATTTATTTATAGGATATTATATCATTATCAATACAAGTTTTTACCCCAGATTTAAAGGATTCCCATTAATTATTTTAATTAATTTAAAAAAAATATAGAATGTGATATTTATTTTTTGTGATGAGCATATTATTGTCTAAAATTTCGCAATAATGGTGAATAAAATACTTGACATAATATTTTCAATTTTCTTTTATTTCACAATTCTTTTGGATAACAATTCGGAATTTTTAAAGCGATAACATAACACAAAACGGAATATTTTTCACTAGGTGGAACATAACCAAACACCAATAAATTTTACTGTTGTTTTTGAATCTATTATCGACCATCGATCTATATTTATTTACTTTTATTATTTTTTTTTTATATTTATTTTTTTACACTAAAAAGAAAAACCCTATCTTTTATAACTACGGAATGTGAGAATATCAAAAGTTTTTTTTTTTTTTTTAAATGACAAATTACAACGATTTTTGAGTCATTTCAGAGTAACTTTAGTAAATTTGACAAATTCGTTTATATATCACGCACTCAAATTCCGGTTTTTTTTTTTATTGTCTATTATAAAAATTATAAATATATATATAATAATTTATTTATATTGTTATTATTTATTTATTAATAATCTCTTTTATTTTGACTATACTCTAAATACTCTCTTACTTTTTTTTATTGTTTATTTTTTTTATATATACTATTATATTTTATATGTGGCTGCGTGAAAAAATAATAAAAGGACAAAGCCAAAAACCAACTTCTTCTCTTTAACATTTTTCTCTTTTTTTTTTTTTATTTTTTATTTTTTTCTCTAAAAAAAGAACTCTTTCAAAGAACATTGGGTGACAAAAAAAAAAAATTATTCTTTACTATTCTTCTACTACGCCCTATTTTTCTCACACATCCATAACCGCAGTTAGAATTCCTTTAATCACAAGAAAATCAAGAAAAATCCGTAAACATCTTTTTTTATTTAGTTATTACTCCGGTCTCTTAATTATATTACTACGCATAATTATTTACTGCATATTACATTATATTTTATTTACCGTGTTACAATTACTTACTATATTAATTATTTTAGCATAAAAAGGACTTGAATTCCTCTAAAAAACTTTAAAAAAAAAAAAAAATATTATTTTTAAAAACAAAAAACTTTATATTTCTCCTCAAACAAAAAGAATAATTAACAATGGTCGATATAGAACTTGTCTATAACTTGTCTATACATAAGCTTCAGAATTTTCAATCAACCCGTCGTGATAGCGATGGGTTGAGAAAATTGGTGTTGCTTAATAACTTTGTATATGAAAAATTCGTTTCTCCGGAACCGGATGTTGATCTATTAGAATGGTCAGAAGAAGATATAAAGAAAGATGAAGAGAGTTGGCTTGATTCTTGCCTGGATGAACTTGATGAAGATGACTACGTACATGTTAATGTTAAACCTCTTGACAATCAACCTACCGTTTCAACTTTTCCAATAGATCGTTACGATGACCCTCGACATTACGAAGATCATTATATCCAAGATAATAATGCGATGGAATATGAAAATCATTCTCATGAACAACAACAACAACAACAACTACCCTCTAAAGATAATCATGATGTTATAATACCTCACGATCATCTCCACCTTCCATTCTTTGACCCCGGAGATAATTATCATATGGATATTGAAGAAGAACATGATGATGATGATGATGATGATGATGATGATGATGATGATTCAATGGACATTCGTAATTCATCATCTCAAGATGATGATATAAATATGACAAAGATTTCAAGTTCTTTTGAGTACTTGTCATCTGAAAAAGGTTTCCATCCATATTGGAAAGATAATAGTATAATAGGTCAAATAGGTCATCCATCTTCACGTTCTTTTGGTATACCAAAAATCTTTCACAAATATCGTTTTGACCAAGTTGTTGACTCTTCATCACCACGACGTATTTCTCCTCCTAATGCTGTTCTTGAACTCTTACAATCCAATTATATTGATTCACCTTTGAGAAGATCTAAAGATGATTTAGATATCTTATATTCTTTAACTCCAAAAGATTTAGATCGAGGAATTTTAATGGATATGATTAGTATGTTGGAATATTATGGTAGTAAAGCAAATCATAACATTGCAAAGAATTCAAGTGAAATCAATGACATGTGGTTTATGGACAATAATCATCGTTAAAAATAATACGTTGTTGGTTAACTAACAAACTCTTGTAAAAATTTTTCATATACATTGTTAAATATCTCCTCAAATCTTTTTTTTTCTTTTCTTTTCCTTTTTTTTTTTGTTACATATTTTTCTCAATATTCTTTATTCTTTTTTATTTTTATTTTTATATATTATTTGTATATACGAAAAGCCACATGTCTCATTGGTTATTTTAGTATGTATGAGTAGTTTTGTTTTTTTCAACATGAACATTTGTGGGTTTTTTAATATTTAAAAAAAATCAAAAAAAAAGGCTTAAAAAATTTAAAAATTCAAAAAAAAAGTGGTGGATATTTTTCTTTTTTCTTTTTTATTTCCTTTCTCTTTTATCTTTATTTGTACTTTTTTGATCTTTTTTTTTTTTTTCTTACTTTTTTCACTTTTTCATTATTTTCTTCTATTTTCTTATATTCGATTAATTTAGAATATAACAAAATAACGAACAATTATTATTCAAAATATATAACAAAAAAACCACGATTTAATCTAAAAAAATATTTTTCTTTAAAAAAAAACAATTAAGAAACAAAAAATTTTTTAGACTTATGCATATTAAAAAAAAATCAAAATTAAAATATATACAGTACGTAAAAGTTGATCTATGAAATAAAAAAAAATTTTTTTAATTTTTTTAATTAAAAAAATTATATTTTTTTAAAAAAAAAGTTTCGTTATTTTTTTTTTTTTTTT